AATATACCAGTGCAAGAAGTTCGGAAGCACTCCGTTTCACATTGCAGCAAGAGCAGGAGACAGCAGGGCACTGTTGGCTTTATTGAATACAAAACAACCTTATTTCATCGATATGCGCGACCACGTAAATCATATCGAATTTTTTCTCTTGATATTATAGCAACAAGAAAATCTGCAACGGCTAAGGAGAGCATTTTCTCTTTTAGATGAACCGCACAGCTCTTCACAGAGCGGCTTTTCATGGTCATCGTAAGTGCGTACAAATACTGATTAATCACGGTGCTAACATAGCCGCGGCGATGAAAAACGGTATTACTGCGGCTAACGATATATTTACTCATATTCCACGGCCTGTAGAATTTTTAATGGACATATTTGATTCCTCAGTACATCTAACTGACAAATCTTCGGAAAAATATGAAGATGTAAAAACCGGAGTATGTTAAAGTGGAAAATTGTTTTTACTGTAAAGTTTTTTCAAGCAGAGACGCAGAGATAAATTTCTACTAAAGAAATAAAATCTAAGTAAATAAAGTATCTTTTTGTTACAGATTGAACTTGACTTCAAAATATTGATCCCGGAATATCAAAAACATCAAATGCGAGTAGTTATGGCTATCATAGACGCAGCGTCGGGCATATCGCAACTGACAATATTACAGCACCCGCTCGTAGAAACATTTCTTAAATTAAAGTGGACAAGATTAAGGATATTTTTCTTCTTTCTAATGCTCATACATTTGTCTTTTGTCGTTTGTCTCTCAATCTTCGCCCTGATGTTTATAAACAATAACACTGTTGATATTTTGCCAATTCCAAGGATTCTCAATGTCTGTTCCTTGTTTCTTTTGATTCACAATTTGATACAACTGTTTATGGAACCTAAGTAAATAATTTGTCTATATCAGATACTTACTAAACTTTACGTATTTACTATACAATACTTTACTTTCTATATTATAGTATACTATACTCTTTACTTTTACTTTTTATTTTTGAGATTAGTACTTAGAGCTTACTCGAAATATATTCTGTGAACATTACAGACATTATTTGAAACAAGTAGAAATGTGGTTGTCAATCATATGCGCACTTATGTCACTCGCTACGGCGATAGGTAGCGAATTCGTAAACTGCGATAAGGAAGAAATTGGACGTAGACAATGCGCACATTGGATACTGCATCTTCTTTCCATCGCAGTTTTGCTCAGTTGGATACAAATAATGCTATTAATCGGTCGATTTCCTATGTGGGGATATTATGCGCTGATGTTCTCTACAGTGTTAAAAAATATCGTAAAGGTTAGCGGCAATAACTAAATAGTATTATATAAAANTCGACGCGTTGTTGCATCTTCCTATGTTATTTTTCGGACTCAGTTATTGCTTGTGTAATATTTGTTTGAACAAACACTTTTTTTTTGTTTCAGGTTATTTTGACATTTGGATGCTNGATTGTTGGATTTGCACTGAGTTTTAGCATCGTGTTTTACGGAAAAGACCAGTATGATACTGTTTGGAAAGCAATCCTGTCGACTGTGGTAATGATGACAGGCGAGTACGAGTATACGGATCTGTTTAATAAAACAAGCACGGAAGATAGTGTTGCTTCAGAAGGTTTTCTACCAATAACAAGCAAGATTATATTTTGTAGTTTTATCATACTTACCAGTATCATTCTGATCAATCTCATGACCGGTCTAGCAGTCAGCGACATTCAAGCTCTCGAGAAAGAGGTACAATATATATAATTTATATTCGGAAATTATATTCAAGTTGCAGCTTGTACTGTGTTTTTAAATACAACAAACATTTTGGACTATCAATTTGTGTAATACCCGGATCGGTGTGCATCTAATTACGCAATAATTAGATAATCAAAATAATTAACGTTTTTACACTCAGGGTCACATACGTCGATTATTGAAACAAGCAGAATTTATTGCACATTT